ACTTTTAAATAGATTCGAATAAATGATAGGAAGAAGAGGAATAGCAAAAGGAAGATGAAAAGAAATAAAAAAAAGCATGATCATTGAGAACTCTTACTCGAAGAAAAGATCTCTCGAAAGATAGTACGATTAGAAGAGGCAGAATAGAATAAAAAAAAAAAAAAAGAAAGGGAGGGGGAATTTGGAAAAAGATGAAAATAAACGGGAATTTGTTTTTTTTGTATAAAAAGGTTATAAAAAGGATCCTATATCTAACAATGCAAAATACGGAAGCTGGGTTAGTACGTGCTCTTATTTGTATACGTATATCTGTGTGTATATATATATATATATGAGTGTATTGGTAAGTATCGCTTTCTAAGTTTCGGGATAATCCGCTTAGGCTAGTATACCGGTCTCTGTCAACGCGTCTTTATCGTGTTTGAACGTATTGTCAACGTGTTTTGTGAGAAAACAGCATTTTTGTCGCTCGAGGTGACAACAAGAAGAGGACTTAACTTATCTCTATCTCTCTCTCTCTCTCTCTCTTCGTCAGTCATAACAGATACCAAAAAAGAAAAAGAAAAAAAAGAGAGAGGAGGGGTAAAGAGAGAGTAGCCGGTTCCTTTTACACGTGGGAGGATATTTCACGATCATCCTAATCTTTTCTTTAAGGTCTTCTAATACACCTGTGATTCTTCTATTCCTTTAAGTTCAACGTAATATTTTCTACAAGTTTTTCTTCTTTCTTTTTTTTCTTGGACTGTACTGTACATATATTTTCAATAATTTTTGCTTTTTTTTTTTTTTATACAGAAATTGTATAAATAAATTTGTAAAAATTGTATATGATTTTATTTTTAAATTTATTTTAGAGTCAGTGCGTTGGAATAAAAGGTTTGGTTTGATAATTAAAAAAGTACGTTACAAATGCAACTCTTTGACCAATTATTATAATTCAATTTAAATCTGTAAAAAAACAAAAAAACATAATTTAAATATTTTCTAAATTAATGTATATTTTTTGTTCTTGCAGGTAATATCAAAACTTGGTAATCAAATCGTAAAATTTAACAACAACGAGGATCAAAATAGTGACACTACCATCAATGATACGTCAAGTTTAAAAAAAAAAAGGAAATTTTCTGTATAAAAAATGATTTAAATTTTATGTAAATTAATATATTTTTTTTGTTCTTGCAGGTAATATCAAAACTTCGTAATGGAATCGTAAAATTTAACAACAACGAGGATCAAAATAGCGACAAAACCATCAATGATACGTCAAAATAAAAAAAAAAGGAAATTTTCTGTATAAAAAATAATTTAAATTTTATCTAAATTAATAAATGTTTTTTGTTCTTGCAGATAATATCAAAACTTGGTAATCAAATCGTAAAATTTAACAACAACGAGGATCAAAATAGCGACACTACCATCAATGATATGTCAAGTTTAAAAAAAAAAAGGAAATTTTCTGTATAAAAAATAATTTAAATAATTATTATTRTTACACAATTTAATTAATGATCAAAATTACCTGGTTTTGTTTTCTTTCCATTTAGATGATTCGTTGACGATGTCAATGACGATGATGATGATGATGATATCATGGTTGTCCCATTTTACAGGAAGAAAGAGAGAGAGAGAGGAAGGATGATAAAAAGGATGGAAGGGTTAGTACAACCACCCTGAAAAAGACCCATATAATCTCTCATGAATACATAATCCAGATGCAAACAGCCGACACGCGCAACCTCGTTTTAAACGGTCACGATATTTCACGGATTATAAGTATGCAACACGAAAGGAGAATATTTGCACACTTTATAGGTTATGCATGTATTTATATATATAACACTGGTAAAAAAGAGAAAGAGAGAGAGAGAGAGGGGGAGAATCGATATTTTTAACTCTGTTTAAAAAGTGCACAAACCTTTCTAAGAGACAGAGACCATCATCAATCTTAAGTATTTAAACAAATTCGTACAAATAATATTTCTAATCGGATTATAAAAATTCCTATGTTTAACTTATACTTTGAAAAAAATGTTAATATTGAAAAATTAAAAACAAATATAAAAAAAAAAAAAATAATATTTCCAATTGAGTACAAAAAAAGTGTTCAGAATTTGAATGAATGTAATATACAGTTAAATTTGAATTGTGAAATAAAAAAAAAAATAAAAAAGGACTTGATCGTTGATGCAAATAAAGATACAAATCTAATCCTTCAAGACCTATCCTTGTGTTTTTTTTTCCTTTTCCTTTCTTTCTTTTTTTTTCTATACTGTATAAAGTAAACTACGTTATCGGTACTGGTGCGATAAAAAAAAAAAGAAAAGAAAAGTAGGCGTTGATCGATGAGTATACTGATCGGATCTTATTCTTTGTCAGGAAGGAGAATACAAAAAAAATTCTATCGTTCATTTTGAAACGTGCAGGGTGGTGGTGGTGGTGGTGGTGGGGGTGGTGTCGGAGAAGGTGGATGATTCATGTAACTTGTACACCCTTTTTACTTTTTTTTTGCTTTTCATTCAAGTCAAGATCAACGCGATACATAAAAAAAAATACCTCAACATTTACATTAAACGAATAATTCAAAATTTAATTGAAAATTCAATTCAGGGTAATACAAGTTCAATGAAATTGAATCCAATATTTTTTTTTCTTTTTTATACAATTATTATTTACAGGAAGAAACGGGAATGTGTTTATTTAATAATAATAATATCAAGGATAAAAAAAAATTAGGTATATGAAATTAAATGTCATTGTAAAGAAATGTTATATTATTATTATTCATTTTTTTTCTTTTTTTTTTTTAAATCTTTTTGCTGTAATCACACGAGAAGTAGTAGACTATAAACATTTTCATTTTTCTCAAAACACAGTAAATTATTTGATTCGATTAGTAACGAAAACGAGGGGGGCGGGGCGGCGGGGGGTTTGTAGAAGGGGTAACAATGGGGCGGGGGGGGGAAAGAACAAAATAAAACAAATAAAATAAAAATGTGGATAATTTAAATTGAAAGATATTTGAAAGGAAGTTAAGAAAATGTCGATGAAGATAAATCGATGAATTGCACGATTTAAAAAAATATCATTCACTTAAGCGCCACTTAGAAATAATTGTATTTTTCATTGTGTCACGTGTTGTGTTTTGTTTATCTATTTCTTTTTTCTTTTTTTTTTTTGTTTCTTCAAAGTTTCTCGCAAATGCATCATACATGCGGCAGCAGTGGACACATACAACACACGCACACACTTATATGTCCTTTAAATATACGAGACGACGCACCACCCACACACTTTTGTTTCTTTCTTAAATCATTCTTTCCATTTATTTATTTATTTTTTTCTTCTTTTTCTTTTATAATCTTTGTCCATTTTGTTTATTCTCTTTTTGTATTCTTCGACTTATAAAAATATATTATGGATATTGGACGGAAGCCGTGAGACATGATTTTTTTTAGGCTATTTTTTTTTTTCATTAGTGTATGTATGTATGTATATATATATATATCAAAATAAAAATACAAATAAAAATAAAATAGAAGAATAAAATCGTCGGTTGTGTGTTAAATACAGCTATTGGTATTTTCGTGTTTTTTTTTTTAATTTGAGCGAGGAGTTTTTCATTTTTTGTTTTTCTTTTTAGCCTGAATTGTTTTTGTTTTGTCCTTTTTTTTCCTCCAAAAGTCCGTCGAAGAGATCATCCGCATAATTTAATTAGAACTAAACTCGTGTGAAATATTTTGCCAATAATAACAAAAAAAAAAAAAAACAAACAAATCAAATAAAATATACGGAAAAAAATTCCTTTTCTTTTTTTTTTTTAAATATTTTTTCTTCTTTTTTTTCGTTTTTTTTTTTTTTTAATAAAAGAAAAAGAAAGAATATTTATGTATATATGTATATATATATGAACTTAAGTTGATATTGCACAATATTTTAATTATTTACATGATGCACAGCGATTTTTCACATCTCATTTTTTTTATATTATTATTTTCTTGTATTCTTCTTCTTCTTCTTCTTCTTTTTCTTGGGAAGATTTTCGTTATTTTTTTTTTCTATTGTTTTTTTTTTTTTTTTTTTTTTATGTACAAAAGAAGAGACAGAATTTAATTCATCATCGTTGAGACATTGTTTTTTTCCCCCTTTTTACTATTTTTTTGTTTTTCTTTGCAATAATGGTTAGAGTTTCATCCATTTTCTTTTTTTTACTTTTCTTCTTTTTTTTTTTTTTGTATCATTTATATAAATATAAGATTAAGTTAATTGCTAGCATAATTACAAAGGTTTTTTTTTTTTTTGTATTTTTTTGTTTGTTGTGTTGTTTCTTTTAGACATAACCTATAATTAGAACCCTTTATTAGTAATAAACGAGCATAAATGGCTCTTGCAAAAATACAATTACTTTTTGTTTGTTTTGTTTTTTTTTTTTTTTTATTAAACTAGCTAAAAAAAAAAAAAAAGATAATGTTGTTATTGTTTTAATATTCGTTTTCTTATTCTCCGATGTCTTTTTCATTTGTTTCTTGTTAATCATTAGTTTATTACAGTTAATTCTCTCAATCAAAGTTCATCAACGCATTTTATTATTTTTATTTTTACTTTTTTTAGTAAATGAATGAATGAATGAATGAATTAATTAATTAATTAATTAATTAATTAAACAACTCACTATGCCACCCTCCATTTTATTTCTTTTTTTCTTTTACTATTTTCATTCAGTCAAAAACTGGCAAGAAATCGAAGACACGAAAAAGTGTCAAGAAGAAAAATTGTAAAACTATTATTAAATAATATATTTACTTTTTCTTCTGTTTTTTTTTTTATGTTGTCACACTGGACGCTCTCTTCGATGATTTATTTCTTTATTTATTTCTCTCTTTCTTTCTCTCTCTCTTTTTTATTTTTCTTTTTTTCAATTTTTTTTTTTTTCTAATAAAAACATTTTTTTTTCAAATACGCAAAATATATAAGCAGGATTATTCGATTATTTTCTTTTTTTGTTTTTTTTTTTTCTTACGTTGTCATTTCTTCCCTTTCTTCTTTCACTCACATTATTCTCTTTTGTGTTAATCGATTATAACAAATACTATTTACGCGTATATTGATCGTTAATAATAATAATAATAATAATAATAACATTAATAATAATAATAATAATAATAAGAATAATAATAATAATTACACGATCAATATTATAATTCAGTCAAAATTTAGTTTTAACAGTTATTAAACTCCCATCATTATTTAATTCTTCTTCTTCAATACTGTTACTTCATTTCTTTTTTTCTTTTTCTTTTTCTTTTTTTTGTTTTTTTTTCTCTTTTTATGTTCACATCACCGACACAGGAAGAAAATATTTTATATCAAGTGGACCGAAAAATCCAAGTGCCTTGTTTTTTTTTCTTTTTTTTCTTTATCTTCTTCTTTTTTGGAAACACCTCAGTGGAAAAGTTGGTTAATACACTGAAGTAACAACAACAACTAAAACAACAGGCACTTTCTTCTTCTTCGTCTTCTTCTTCAAAAGAAGATGATTGTCTTTCTCATTCATACGTTGGCCTTTTAAACAGCCCACCTCTAAATGCGAATCGATGATGATTATTATAATGATGATTATGATGATAATGATGATGATGATGATGATGATGATAATGATGATGATGATTATGATAATATGTTAGTTCAATAATAGAAGTTCATATACGTCTTAGACGCTGTCGTTTTCGTCACTCGAGGCTCCTGATTAGGACACTTAATTCACGAAAGGTTGCTCCTAATTTACCTGGTGCTGATTGCTTTTTCAAAAGTATACCACGTATCGTTGATAATTTTTCGTAACAAGACAGGCACTTATTATATCTGTAAAAATCAAATGTATGTATTAAAAATCTATGTTAACACATTAATGGCCGCGCACGTGTACGCAATTCAAACGTCGTCACAGGGACCTCCCGGTAATATTTTTCAAGAATTCATTTTAAAAACAAACTTTATATTGTCATTCACGAATAAATTAATATCAAACCAAAAACATTAAATTTAATTATATATATATATATATATATAATTTTAAATATATGTATATAAAGTTATAAATAAAATAACTGTCAATGTGTGTTCCGGCTGTCATCACACACACATGTTGTGTGAGCGGCCATTAAAGTAATTATAATGGAACTAAACAATAATAAAAACAATTGTTTGTTAAATTATAATTGAATTTGTAATTATACTAACCGTTCTTCTCGTGAAACATCAACGCCTATGGTGTGAAGAGGTGCTTCCATATTGGATTTAATTACAGAAGCAAAATTACGTAAAATAAGTCTCAATGCCGATAAACCTACGGTTATGTACCTGTAAATAAATAATATATAATTATTTTGATATTACTCTTGTTCTTTTATAATTAATTAATAAAATCATCAATCAAACAATAATGATACACTTTTGTTGATAATAATATAATATTAACACTACATATACCGCCATTTTCATTATACCACACTAGTCAAAATGACTGGTTGATAATACAATACTTTTTATTTAAGAATAATAATTTTCATAGATAAATGAATTTATAGATATTTTTAAATAACAAAATGCATAATTATTTATAAAATTCACATGTTACATGAAGTAGACATTTTCAATGAAAATGGCGGGACCATTTAAAATGACTGGTATGGTATATCTAGTGTTAAAGAAGGAACACACAAAACTGTAAATGTGGGAGTTAATGTGAACTATAAGAAAGAAAAAAAATGGTGTTACGGGTAACTAAGGTGTTACAAAAAAAAAAAAAAAAAATTATTGGACCATAACGATCCCAATAAATAACGAAAGTTAGCAAAGACTCGCCCGAACGATTCGATGCGCTTCCTGTTGGTCGATGATAAAGGGTTCAACCGAAACTCCCGTTTTGAATCACCGAAACGAATCATAAGCGAGCCCATAAATGCAGGACACGCATCGAAACGATTTTATTTCTAACGCTCATCTTTCATGGATTTCAAAAGATATCATGGACGCTAGCTATTATTCAATACACTTTTATAATAACTAAACATTATTTTATCAAAATTAGTTTATAACATTTTATTTCATTTGTCATTTCATTTGTCAATTATTTCTTGAATAAAATTGCATTATACAATAATTAATGTATTAATAACAAAAATCGATTATATATATAATAATTATGTTTTAGTTATAAATGTATGGTTTTTCTTTATTTTACTTAAAAAAAAAAAAAATAAGGAATCTATAAATAACAAACGACTAAGTTAAAAGAACATTGAATGAGAAACAGGGAAACTATGAGGGAGGACAGCAGATTTCACCCCTATGACACGCTTAGCAATTACAAGTTTAGATTTTCATCCTCTAACATTTTTTTTCTCACGGGATCTTACCAAAGGCAGATCTATCAAATAACCGTATCAAACGAACCGTACAAAATTTACAAGTATTTACATACAAATTGTGATATCTGATATTATCAAAATATATACATGTACTACCCCTCTTATTCTTTTTTTATTTAATATTAATCACATTATGGAATTAAACAAATTCTTGTAATGAAATAAAATTAATTTAAATAAATAAACAATACAATAACATTTGTACATGTTCTCATCTTAAAAAAAGAAGAAATTAAATCCTTTTAAGGACTAAAAAAAAAAAAAAAGGATTGTGAATATTCAAAAGGATACGTGATAGTTTTATTGTATTTTATCAAAAGAATAAAACCACGTTGATTGACAAAGATTGACAAAGTAAAATCTCTATCAACATATGCACGCACGCTTACCACTTCAAATTTCAATCGAAACTAACAAAGGGAGGGGGGGGATGGATATTCACGATGAGAATTGTGACACGAATTTGCATCTGTCAGTATCCTCTTATTGTTTTGGCTAATTTAGCGTACCCTCCTTTTCTTACTGCACGTTTCGATCGTATTTCCCTACCCCACACTAAATTAGCCATTCCTATAGAAAACTATGACAGTACACCTAAGTTCTATTCGTTCTAACATAATACCCAAAGTACCGGACACCCTTGTGACATGCGTGTATTATTTAGGTTTTAAGTTTTGGTCCATGAATTCAATTTACAAAAGAATTTGAACAGTTATACTTACATTTCGAATTTACTTTGAACGAGTTCAGCTATAGGCCCGAGAAGTAAATTGCACAAATCCAAATTCCAGATGGTTCTGCAAATAACAAATAAATCAGTATGAGTAAAAAAAGAAAAAAGAAACATTTAATAAAAAAAAGTAATTATTTATTTACTTACGGTTTCAACGTTAATATACCCAGAAGATCAACGATAATCGCAAGATCGTTCATTGCAACTGCTGAATCTATCGCTGACTGAAATTGAAAATAATTGTATTTTTCATTTCCAATAATTATTTTCTAATATATAAGATTAATCAAAAAAATTTACCTTAAGATCTTTATTATGCCAAAGGGAATAGACGATTTGTAAAGAACGGTGTCTACTGGTGAGTACAGTCATCATTGGTTCATGTCCTCGCATCATACTATTTAATACTTCTGCTTCCGACATTTCTGCTAATACTCCCATTTGCGAATACGCTAATCCTGGAGATCCTGCGTAACTACTTTTCTGCAAATAATTATAATTTTTAATTAAACATTAATAATTTAAATAAACCAAACTCACATTACAATCAGATCAGTGATCAGTAAACTTACTGGTAAAAATGTTTCAACATCTAAACCATAAGGTTTATCAGCACTTATTGGAACTAATTCTTCCTTATCAATATCTTCAACTGGTGATCTTAATTGTGTAACTGAATCCACTTTAGGGGTTGGAAGTACTTGTAATTTGTTATTCTTTTTCAATGTTGAGGTTCCCGTCGTCGTTGTGTTTCGGGCTGATAGTGTAGCAGAATTAGCAAAATTTCTATTTAAAGACGTTGACCTTGATTGCGCTGTGTTTGGTCTATTTAGTGCAGGATCGGAGGGACTATGTCTTATATTATTAATTCTGCAACAAATAATAATATCACATAAATTATAAATATATGTATTTTATTTGAAATAAATTGAATATAGTAAAAAAAATGTATACTTACTGTACAGGATAATCACTTTCATAGCCTTGTTCACTTTCTCTACAACTATTTTGGCGCTTTAGGTAATGCTTAGGCGAATCTGGACTGGGCACTCTACTTTTTAATTTTCCATCATCCATAACAGGTATTACAGCTGCCATTGGTGCAACTCTTGGTGTTAAAGTCGAGTTAGATCTTTGTGGACCCAAAGGCTGTGATGGTATTGTTTCATTAGCTTGTGCAGCTCTTTTTCCAGGAAAAGGTGTAATGTTTTGTTTAAGCGGTGGTATAGAAGCTAAATTTTTGGACGATCTGTTCAGCATATTGTTTGCTTGTAAATTAGCACGAATTTGACTGGTCGTGGTTATAACATTCCTTTGGATTGGTGTCGATGATCTTATCGGTTGAACACGTACTGGCACTGGTTTGGTTAGTGACAATGTTGTTACCGTTGGAGATGGTGACAATGATGATGGCATAGATGACATTTCGCTTGATTCTATTGTACTTATATTTGATATTGATGTACAGAGATTTTGTAGTACCTGTGGTTGTGAAGGATCTGAAATAAACATACAATTTATAATTAATATTATGATCAACTTGTAACATTAATATTTGTGTAATATAGTGTGTATGTTTTTAAATAGAAAATTAATCAAAATGTTAATCAATTTTCAGTTAAAATAACAAAGACAAGTGGGAAGTTTTATTTTTTTTTTTTTTTTTTTACAAACTCACCTACATCTTGAGGCTCTTGGAAAGCCTCAGGTTCTGGTGGAGGTGTGCGAGACACTGAAACATATCATGCAGAGCATGCCCATTCACAAACGACATTCCACATTGTCTAAGTTATATGTATGAAAAATGATACCGATAAGTATACCATTATAAGTGATTAAAGATAAACACTGATAGATAGTAGAAAATGACTAGATTAAATAGTATATTGAATTAGGATGAATATGTTATATATGAAAAATTTATTTACGAGCTCTGTTAGGCTGAAATATGTCCTGATAATCAGAAACATTAGGTATATCTGCATAGGTCGCTTCATCTTCTGGATCCGTGCCTGACTTATCTGCTTCTTCTATTGTTCTTACATCTAACCTATAAATTTATGATATACTTAATGAAATATATATTTTTTATTTCAATATGATATGCAGAGTTTTTCCAATCAAACGATGTCAACCTATTAAAAACACTGTTTGGTTGGAATAACTTCAAACATCCTATAGAATACAAGTACTTACGTGTGTTTCTTCAATTCAGGTGGGCGTTCTCTAGAAAAACTTTTCCTCAAAGAATTTCCATGATTAAATGGAGACAACGATACTCCTCCTAATGGTGCTATTTTTTTTAAATCACAGACATAAAGGATAACATTTGCAGTATGGCAACTTGCACCGATCTAAAATAAGTAATATTTTACTGTTATTACATTTATTTTATTGTAATAATAATAATAATAATAGTAATAATAATATAATTTATTAATATTTATTTTTACCAATTGATTTTGAGCTACAGCTATATCCTGTACTTTGCCCCAGCCAGTTGGAACTGCATCTAATGTTCTACCTGGCTCCCAACCATAGACTTTCAAAACATCATGACTACCAGCAAAAAGACATTCTCCTCCTTGACTGAAGTATAGGCACCTAAAAAAATATATTCTTATAGTAATTAAATATAAATGATTATTAACGATGACAAAAAGAAATCTTGTTTACCTTATTCCTGATGAATGATTTTGTTCTGTGGAAGATACAAGCTGAAACGATTCCAAATCCCAGAAATGAACTGTTCTGTCTGCACTTCCACTTGCTAACAAAAATTCATGTGGATGAAATTCAACGGTTAATGCTGGTCCCCTGTGTTCTGAAAATTCTCTGAGTTGTCTTCCCGCTCTTAAATCCCATAACTACTAGAAAATACAATTCAATGATATATCATGTGTCTATGGGAAAATAATATTAAATTTATAGAAATATCATTACAATTCACCTTGACCATGCCTTCTTCTCCTGCACTAGCGATCCATTGTCCATCAGGACTAAATTTTAAACTATTAACTGTCAGATTATGTCCCTTATAGGTAAAAATACAACCCTTCCTTCGTATATCCCACAATTTGATCGCAGTGTCCAAACTTCCAGATGCTAATAATTCCCCGTAAGGATGGAAGTCCATGCATTTGATTCCTGCTTTGTGTCCTGTCAAAGTACGAGCTAATTTAGCATGTTCCAAGTCCCAAATTTTCAATGCCCCTGTCTGAGAACCGGCACATACTAAATCCTCTGTTTGACCAAATCTTACACATTCTATTGACGTTGTATGACCACTCAGGCTCTACGTAAATAAACAAAAAATAAATATGTTTATTGTATAACATAAAAGACAATAATAATAATAATAATAATATTTTGAATAAATACCATAATACAATTAGGTTTTCCAACAGCCCATAAGTTGACTTTTTTGTCATCGCCACCAGTGACCAAAACACGACCAGATTTGTGTCCCAATGCCAAACAATTAACATTTGATGCATGGGCAACAAAATCCTCTACAAAAGTAAAGAAACACAGTATTAACAATTAGAAAAGTAATTCCTTATATATAAGATTTAATGACATGTGTGTGACACATGTGTCAGACGAATACAAAAAAGGATCTGACTATAATTATAGAATGCTGTATATAGAATATGTATGAGTACACTTCGATACATACTATCCTTTGATAAACATTAATTGTTTACTTCAAATCAAATCCCCCCAATTAAAAGTCGTCCAACGATAATCCTTCCTTTGAAATATAATGAAATCTTGGAGAAATACTATGAAAAAAAAAAAATAACTGCAAAATAATAATAATCACTCACGTAATTTCCAAGATCTCTTCGTTGACGAAGCCATATTCCGGGACCAAGAAGATTGCGTTGTACAAGACTTATTTGGGAGGAACAACAGTCTGAGATTGAAGATCGTAGTGGTAGGATAAGTTTTTGCACGAATTTAAATGTAACATTTTTATTCGTTTGAAGATGTTATTCCTTTTAAAAATACGAAAATTAAACTTTCCATTAACTTGACGACATGATGAGAAACTTTTAATCCAACCCGGCTTCCGATATTATTATTATTTCCATTAATTTTCAACTGACGTTTTTTTTTATGAAACTTCTTCGTTTCACCTTTATTAACTGTCGTATCTCATTTCTTGAATCTCTGACTGTGTGTCCGTGAGTAGCGATGCGAAGTGACGTTGAAAAATATCGAATTATTTTGATATCGAAGTTGCTCTTTCATTCGAGGTTTTTTTTTTTAAGGTTAAGATTCAATCTTTCTTCCTTGCGTTTAAAAACGTGCACAAATTGTATCCTTAAAAATATGAATTTATACAATAAATAAATATAATTAATGAACTTTAGAAATTATTTATAACACATGGATTGATTAAACTTAATCGTTGTAATTATTTTACAATATAACCTCTTTCGTGATAATCGATATCGAGATACGATATCGATTGTTGGAGGACCACAGCAGACTGACTTACATACACATAATCAAATACGTATATGTGAAGTGAAGATAACGTTGGTGTATGTGTATGTGTGTGTGTATGTATGTATGGTATACCATGCGCCATTCAAAGGATTGCGCAAAATTTACTTACACTATGATATTAGAATTAATAAACAATGAGATTCTAATTACTTCGCGTCAATAGCTTTAGGTTTGCATTAATATTTACATAAGAATCTATATAAAGTTTTTTTTTTTTTTTTCATTTGAATAATTATTCATTTATTATTATAGTTTAACCATAATACAAAGTCAAGGTAAAGAAGTGTGATTGTTAAAATTGTAATCATCACAAACATGTTTACTTTAACCAATATATGTTTTAATAAAGTAATTACGAATGCAAGAAAATGTTTTATCTATAATAAATGTAAAAGAGGTTGTAAAACTTATGTGCAAGGTCAATCACCAGAACCACGTATAAGGGAATATTTTTATTATATTGATCATCAAGGCATGGTATGGTGTATTAATTTTTATATTTTTATTTTATCTTATTATTATTATTATTGAGAGAGTTATTTTTTATGATTATTTTATTACTTACAGTTATTTTTGGATGATGTACGTATTAGAAATTTTACATCCTGTTTCAAAGGTATGTATCAATGCGTAGACCTACAAAGCTATACAAAAGTAATTACAAAATTTACTCGGCGAGTCAAATGTCATTCTATTTACAGATGGAAAATATAAAATATTATTTCAGACAAAAAATTTTTGACATTTTTCTTCCAACGACTCAAAATAAATGATACTGGACGATACATGGAAGAATTTCCATACATCTCTCTATGTGGTTTAGAAAGGAACTTTGTTAAGTGCGATGATCTTCCCATAGTATTCACGAAAATCATGGAAAAATATAATGTAGAACTTGATCAAAAGAAGGATTGGTTTGGTTATTCGTATGCCGAAAAATTACTTAGGGTAAATAATCAAAAAAAAAACAAACAAACAAACAAACATGTGTATACATTTAAATTTAAATATAATAATGATGTACAATTAATATTTACAGGTACCATTTGAACCAGAAAAATTATTAATGGACCCTACAACAGGTAGAGTGTATCATCCTGCTCCTGAAAAAGTAGGAGGTATTGGCCTAGTAAGATCTAAAATTGCTATTGAATTGAGTATTCATTTTTGTTTTGAAAATGGAGAAGATCAAGGTCCAACTCATTTTCAATGGAAAGATAAAAAATACTCGATCGATAATGAATGGTACAAAAACAGTATAAAATATAAAGATAAATAGATATAGATTATTATTTTCCTAATATGTATATTTTTCTATGTTCGTAATTATATTTAAGAGCATAACAAATTTTTTAAATACCTAGATATCAGATTACATTAAAATAAATTTGAGATATCAAATATTCTCGCAGTGAAATCATCAGACGTTGTCAATACGATTTGTCCCTCTCTAAAAATATTTGTAGATTGAATTGTTTGATTAGTTTACTTATCATTAAATATAATAATAATTATTATCATTATTATTATTATTACTTACTCGGATATGTGTAAATCAAGAATATCTTTGGAATGTCCTGTAAATAGGTGTAAACATAGTCCATTTCTTGCATCAAAGCATCTGAGAATACCGTCAAGTCCACCAGAAAATAACAATGATGTTGTACCTTTCCATAAAATTTTACTTATACCACCTTCTTGTTCTATTTTGTGTCGGAGCATCTAAACATTTTTTAAAAACGTTAAAATACTTTATATATAAAATTACCAAAGTATCATATTTTATTTCTAAGCACTTCATAATCAAATGATTCAAATAAAGCATACTAATCACCTGTTTTGGTATATCCCAAATAAAAATTTCTCCATTTAAACTACCTGTAGCAGCTACTTGAAATGTTGGATCTTTACAGAAAGCTACTGTCTCAACCCAATTTCTATCAGAATCTTCCATATCATTTTCTTGTTCACTATTAAGATCTTGTAATATAGATATTATCTGGAAACATTTATCAAGACATTTATCTTATTGATACAAAATTTATTATAATATAATTACAGTTAAAAAAAAAAAATCAAATAATTGTTTCTATTCAATTACCTTTCCAGTATGCGCCATACTAAGAATAGTTTTTCCATCTACTGCTGCTGATAATATTAAATTATTATCAATATAACAATCGAGCGCTGTTATGGCTGCATTATGGCCTACATTAGAAGGAATTGTTGATATCATGTTATTTGATTTTAAATCAAATACACGAATTGTACCATCTTCATATCCAACTGCTAGTCGTTTACCTGTTGATACATAAGTAAGTGTAAGTATGTGTGTATTTATAAACATAATTTTTTCAAACATTAGTTACATACCATCAGGTAAAATTACACCTGCTTCTGTTCTGTTTCCAAAACCTTGTAAAACTTTGCAATCCCCATCAGGTACTTTCCACATGAAAATTTCACCATTTACAGAACCTGCGATTAAAACATTAGCTGCCATATGCCACTTCATCCACTGAAAATAATACACTATATTAATAATAATAATAATAATAATAATAATAATAATAATAATAATAATAATAATAATGTAAATCTATAAAATAATATTTACTGTAGCATCTCCCATATTGTAATTCCATATCATAGATTTGTCACTTAATCTCCACAATTGTATGATACCACTCATATCACCAGTAGCCAAATAGGTTTCATCAAAATTGAATTCAGCAAATATAATACTATCTTTATGATCAGTGCAATTTAAAATAATTTCTCCAGTAGTTGTGTCCCAAACATAGGCCTTATCTTCTTCACTTCCAGTAACTGCAATCTTTCCGGCCTTACTTAAAAAACCGCAAAAGACAGAACCTAATGTTACAAAAATGAATTGATAAATCTGTTATGTTAGAAGTCCAAACAATTACAAAAGTGTAATGTATACAAACCAGATTTGTGTCCAGTGAATACTAAAGTTGCATCTTCTTTTTCTGGATCTATTTTTATTGCTTCTTCGTTGTTTAGTGAATCAGGATCTATAACTTCAATAACATCTTCGTTGTAAATAACTTCTTCTTCGTCCATTTGATTGATCACATCAGGAGACGGTGAATTCGTGTCTCGTTTCATTGTGTTTTCAAATAATTCTTATATTTTTAATAAATCACAGCACACTCTTTCAAAAGAAAGTTCTTTTTGTTGTTTTCTTTTACTGGCAGTGAAATCTGTATTTGTAGAAAAACAATAAAATGACTATTTAACACTGTTAATAAATGTAACCTAATGTAACAAAGATAACCCTTAAATTCAACTACATCAACTAATCATTCTTGATTTTAAAAAATCGAGGTTAATAACTCAATATTTTATAACTATATATAATATAACACATACATATACATCAGGTTGATATCCTAAGTTCCTTCTTGTGTTGCTACCTGGTGTATATATATACAAATTATATATATGTGGTGCTACAGGTCGTATCAAGCACCATCAGGAGTGGGGGAATGCCGTGAGAAAAAAACTAGGGTAGCGATGTCAGAACCACCTAGCGTCAGAGCTTTCAACTCGTTCGTCACAAAAAAGAAATCGATTTGTATCTATCGATAAGTTAAATTATCTCGAGTTGAAAATTAATTAAAATTGAAATTTAAAAAAGGTTATAATCTTTTTACTGATTCGACATACATAATTGATCATGTAAAAATAAATAAAATAAATATTAATAATAATAATATTTGAAGTAATTAAATGTACAAAGAAAAATGTAAATCATATATGATCAATTAAAAGAAAATTAATTAGATCATTTAAAATCATTGTATTTTCTTTTATATAATTATTCTTCTTTAAGATAATTTAATCCTGTTAGATTATCAATGAATAAAACTAAATAGTAAAATGCGCCAATTGTTAAAACATGTTTCATCATCCTTCCGGCTTTCCTCTCTTACTTTAATCTTTTATTTCTTCCTCCTCACTCCCTCTCTTTTTCGCAAATTCCATTTCTCTCATCATCCTTCTCTCTCTCTTTTTAAAGAAGCGCAGAAGCATACAACGGTTAAACTACTCCACCAGTCTTGGCTCGTCCGCCGTGCCGCGTGTTTACAAAAGTTGACTATTTTTAATATTTCTTTACAAATATATATACGTGTCTGTATATAACAAATAATTATTGGAAATATAAATAAAATAAAATATTTTCTTAGTAATAATTATAATTGATTATTTATCTAAATCGTGATTTATCTTATTCCGTATTTGGTGATAAAATCTTGATCGATAAGGTAGGTTTCTTCTTTAACACAAATACATAAATTACAAAACCAGAATACGTAAATATTTGTATACTTATGCATATATAATTTTTACAATAGATTGTTATCATAATTACAATTAAAGATTACGAAATTGAATTAAAAAAACAAACAAAAAGAATAAATTTATAAATAAGAAAAAAGAAAAAAGGAAAAACGTTTTTCGTGATGAAGGAAAAGATTAAAAGAAAGAAAAAATTGAAGAAAGAAAGAAAAATGAATTAGGTAAGAGAGTGAGGAGAGCTCATTGATAAAAATACATAGAGTAAAAATAAAGAGAGGTGGAAGAAGAAGAGTTTGAAGGTCATAGAGTTTATATTAAAAATATAATCAAGTGTTCGTGGCATTTTAAAATTTGAAAAGTTTTTCGAATATCGATACAAGTGATTGACGGAAAACAATCGATGGAAACGAGCGCGGGAAGTGAGTTTCACAAATTTTATTACAAACAAAATTTTCAATTGTTGTTGATTGAAAAAAAAGAAAAAAAAGAAGAGGAAGAAGAAGAAGAAGAAGAAGAAAAAGAAGAAAGTCAAATTCAAAATTTGTTAATTAAAATGAATTTACGAATCCATCATTTATGACAACGTTTTATCGTTAAGTTGATATTATGGGAAAAATAATTACAAAGTACAAGACGACAAATTTTAACCAAAAGGAAAGAAAAAGTCTATCATTATTTATTATAATCTTTTATATATAAAAAAAAATATATATATATATATATATATATATATTCAAAACTTTGTTCACCAATCGTCCAGTAACGAATATAATAAAAAATGGCGGCAAAATGGCAATGATTTAAATTCAAATTTAAATGCAGTTTATACACGAATGATTTAATTCAATGAAAAAAAATAATTTATTATCTTAAAAAAATTATTATTTATATTAATAATAATTAATTAATGAATTTGTGACAATGAACTTTCAAGTTCCTAAAGCCAATTAATAATAATATTAATAATAATAATAATAAATATATATGATAGTTTTGAATTTGATAAGAATTTGAATTAACGGCAGCTAATGAGAAGATAAATTAAAGAGATTTATTTTAGAAATCTTGATCGATTATCGTGCAATGACAAAACGTTTAATTAAATTTAGATTTTGATATATTTGATAAATATTTATTATTAATCAACGAGACATGGATACCAACGACAACGGTGTTTGGATTTTTGGTTATGGTTCTCTTTGCTGGAATCCTGGTTTTGAATATTGTAAAAGTACAACTGGTTTTGTCAAAGGATATACCAGAAGATTTTGGCAAGGAAATACTACGCATCGTGGTACAACGGAGAAGGTAAATTTTTTGGCATCTTATTCTACTACGTAAATATTTTCATTACTATTATCATTATTATTATTATTAGTTTTGTATTTATAAATGTTAAGGATGGCATTTTCAAACATTTTGTATTACAATATCTTTTATCTTAAATTATTATTTGTAATTTATTTGAAAAGTGTTGTAAGTTTATAATTTATTTGTATTTTTATTTTATAAATTTAAGATTGCATCATTTTATTTAAAATAATCTTTGAAATGAACGAATGATAATACAATCATTTCCTTTTTTTATGTATTCTCGAATGTTTTTGATATTTGCACGAACGATGAAAAAGCACGAAAAAAAAAAAACAAAAATAATGAAATCAAATTAAAAATACAAAATACAAAATATATACACTAATTATGTTTATTTAGTTTAAATGATTTGCGTATTTTCTTATCGAGATGTTCTAAGAAAAGTGTATCAAACAAAAATAACAAGGATAACAAATTTCTCGGATAAGAGATACGTCTTTCATTTCTTTTCTTTTTTCTTTCTTTCTTTTTTTTTTTTTTTCTTTCTTATGAATACGTCAATTCAACGAAACAGATTGTTTCTTAATTCTTTTTGTAACGTTGATACGATTATTAAATGATTGATATGATAACTGAATGATTCGTGAACGTTTTTAATCAAATTTTGCTCAGCAATCTTAAGTTATGTCACTCGAGGTCTCTCTTTTTGAAACGATAAGATTAATTTTTTTAAGTCTAGACTTGGATTAATTCATTTTAACATTAAATATATCAGATCAGTCATGTTGACTAGTTTTTTGACGCCATTTTAATTTCAAATTTCTACTTTATGTAACATTTGATTTCTGTAAATAATTTTAAAATGTCTATAAATCCATTTATCTATTAAAATTATTATTGTTAAACATTTTTTTTGTGTTATTTTTTAAGATTACATAAAGACTGGAAGCCTACAAAAAACATTTTTCTTTATACACCAATCATTTTGATTAGTGTGGTAGAAAATGGTGGTTATATCTAGTGTTAAAAAGATTATTTCTTCTTCTTCTTCTTCTTTTCTTTAATTTGCAAATCAAAATCTTGATAGTTAAAGATTCATTAGCATTCAATCGAACAGTCTGCTGATTTTTTACGTGAATGGAATTCTAAACGTTTGTTTACTTACAAATCTAAATAATAATAATAATAATAATAATAATAATAATAATGCTAATAATGTTATGTGAATAGAAAGAAGAATGAAACTTATCATAATAATTGATAATAAAGTTGATTTTAAATTTACTTATTATTTGAAATATCATTTTTGTCAATTCAAAATAAAGAGAAAGTTGTTGTCTTTTACAATAAAATATAATAAAACACTACCTCTTGTTCATACTAAGCCCAACCAGTTAGAAACCGGTATAAACTGATATCTTTCTATGCATATTTGTATGTGTGTGTAAGTTACATTTTATATTGCTATAAAATAACATATGTTTGTATAAGCAGCTGAATGATATAAAATACTGCCATGCTATCTTTAACATTTTTATATATATATATATATATATAAGTACACCAATTTTTCAATTTAACTTTAGATGTCTGATAAATAAATGACCCTACGCCATTACAAACGATAGTTGAAATTTTAATCAAAAAAAAAAAAAAAAAAAAACTGTATAAACAAAGAACTGATTTGATTTCTTCTTAAAATTGTTTAAACAATGTATTTGTATTTTTTATTTCTTTTTTTTAGCCTGGTCGAGTTGCCACTTTGGTGGAACAAAAAGAGGTATAAAATATATCTTTAACATGTTGAGCGCCATGTCAGTCATCAATGGCTGACATTAGACTTTAAATTTAAGCCACGTCAGTCACAAATGACTGACACTCAACTATTTTTTCAATACAAAGTAAAGCCTATGGCCTGACAAGAATTTTCCTAAGAAATTTTGCATGGCGCTTAACATGTTAAAAAAAGATTTTACTTTGATGACGTTAATAAAAAAAAAAAAAATAAAAAAAAAAAAACAATTATATGAAGTTAATTGTAATTTTTAGGGAATCGTTTATGGTAGAGTTTTTCAAATATCGGGCAGTACAGCAATACCGTATTTACAAAAAAGAGAATGTTCATTGGGAGGATATTTGACTACTATTTCAACGTTTCACACTCGTGATGGTAGCAAAAGCTTTCCGGCAATTATTTATATAGCCACTAAAGAGAATCAACATTGGCTTGGGGAAGCACCGCTACGCACTATAGCGAAACAGATTACAGAATGTTCAGGACCAAGTGGACATAACGTTGAATATCTTTTACGGTATTAAATGTATAATCTCTTTAAACAAATTCTAGCTTTATAAAATGTAACAATATTGTTTTATCTATTAAAAAATGACGTCATCATTAATCTCATTGAAATATTATTATTCTATAAATATTAATATTAACACTAGATATTACCACCATTTTCTACCACACTAGTCAAAATGATTGGTGTATAAAGAAAAATGTTTTTTTGAGGCTTCCAATCTTTATTTACTTTTAACAAATAACGAAAAAAATGTTTAACAATAATAATTTTAATAGTTAAATGGATTTATAGATATTTTTAAATAACAAATATTACATGAAGTAGAAATTTTGAATTAAATTGGCCGGACTAGTCAAAATGACTGGTCTGTTATATCTAGTGTTAAAGAATAGTTATTTTTGGTAGGTTTAAACTATAAAATAAATAATAATAATAATATATGATTTTCATATGTTTTTTGTTTACAGATTGGCTGATTTTATGCATAGTTATATTCCTGAAGCTCAAGATGAACATCTTTTTACATTGGAAATGTTCGTAAGATCGATTATAAAGGAACGAAATATGTGTATAAATACTCTTATGGGAAATAGAGAATTTGTAATCGACCTTGAGAATGCCGAACAAGGTCAGTTGGAAGCAGATCGTGATAATGCGAATGTTCATAATGGTGTTAATCGTGTTACGGAAAACTCTTTCCAATATGCATCTAGAATTCCTCAAACATTGCGTTGTCTTAAAATGTAATAGTTAATTATGTTAGATAATTATTTTATTTTTCATGATTTAATATCAATCAAATCGTTCAATATCTAAGACATCTTTTCTTTCTCACTTTTGCTATGCTAAAATAATGAGAAAGAAAATAGATTTGATAATAATTATTTCTATATTATCTATGAATAATTATTATATTTATTTTTTTTTTTTTTTAAAGAAAATCTAACGAAAAGTACGCCAGTAAAAATCACTATTTTTTCTTTCGCGTATTTTCGTTACATTTTCTATGTAAAACGTGCTGTTCATTTTTTTTTTTTTTTTTTTATTTAAATAAGCGCTGGACACTTACGCTTTATATATTTGTATATATAAAAATGATTTAATTGTTAAATATATTTTTTGCTGCTAATTATTAAATTATTCGTTTTTATCTTACACGATTTAAATGTGTCTCTTTGTTTTTTTTTACATAATCCAAATTAATATAATATTAATATAATAGATGATTATAATTTATGTATAATCACAGTGCAATACGAAAGATCTGTTATAAAATATTACTATAATAATAATTTATCTAATTTTTTTAATTATTTGTTTATCTGGATATATCGACAGTTTTTTAAATTGTGGCACCATCTAGTGGTATCACTTATTACTAAATCATTAAGAGATAAATTTTTAATGCCACCTATGAGAAAAAGTATGTACTTCCGTAAAAATTCCAGATGGTAATTCTTAGATGGTAAATTACTGTTACCAATTATTGGTAATATTAGATTCCTGCATTTATCATCTATAGGTAATAGAAGATTCCTATTTTACATTTTTTTTATTAATGTCATTGTATTAAGTATATACTTTAATATATTTCTTTACGATGTGTAATAGAAGAAATAAAATGAAATAAGAAAATAATAAAATGGCAGAAATTTATAAAAAATAGTTTTAAAATAAAAATTAGTTTCTATGATATACCTTTTTTGAAAGTAATCAAATTATATTGTAAAATTGTTCATATCATTAAAATAATGTAAATATTTAATTAATTGTACTCTTGCTAAGATATCTTCTCGTGTATACATGCTGTATAATTTTTATACATTATATATACATATATATTATATTGTACTTATACTTTATATATATACTGTACATTATATTGAGTTTATGCTCGTTAATCAAGAAGTATTTTTACGTTATTGTTTTTACGGAAATTGTCATGCGTACGATGTACTAAATATATTTTTACACATGTCATCTTATCATCGACTCAGACTGATCAGCTGTTAAATGTAGATTTGTCGGCGCGTAAGTCGTAATGTAAAAACTGTATAGGGAACAAATGTAACCGAAATAAAACTCCTTTAATTTGAAATATTTCAATCGTCTTCCTTCTCAAAACATTTATATAAATATAAATTGATTACTAATGTGTAACAATAAATTATAACCTTTGTGAATGTTATAATCAAAAACATAACATAATGAAAAATTAACTTAAATTAGTGCTATAATAATAATACTCCAAGTACATTGTTCTGTAAAAATGTACTTTTGTGAAATTTTATGTGATCAATATATATCAATGTATAATCACATATGATTATTATTCAAAAACGATTAATTATTATTATACAAAAATTAACATACATATATATATATATCTCCTGAACAAATTATACTAACTTATTTAAAATGAAAATAGCTAAATCAACAGTGGCACTTCTAATTTTTGTATTAATGTTATCAATTTTTGTGGCTAACGTTGCCGATCTAATTAATGTTGATTGTCATATATCAGATAATACCATATCATGCAAAGGCATAGAATCGGATTGGCTACATCCAAATTTATATCAAATATCGGATTCAGATGATCACTTAATGTGGTTTATACAGGTTAGTTATAACATGAAATATTATATATTTATTAATTTGTAAATACTATGTGATTGTTCATTTGAAATGTTTCAGATAACAGATATACATATAAGCATATTTCAAGATCCTAGAAGAATATTAGAATTACAAGAATTTTGTAATGTAACAGTAACAACTATTATGCCTTCAGTTGTCCTTGCATCAGGTATTTTATACTGTATAAATATCTGTATATTATTATAATTGAATTATCATATTAATTACAATATTATAATTGTGTTTATTAACATAGGTGATTTAACTGATGCAAAGAGTAAAGATAAAATGGGTTCCAATCAAATATTACAAGAATGGAAATATTATAAAAACATATTAGAAAGTACTAATATTAAAGAGAAAACATTATGGCTTGACGTTAGAGGAAATCATGGTACAAATTTTAAATATAATAACACACACTTTACCAATTTATATTAATACAATGATAAATACACACTAACTTTAATCAAAATTTGTATGTTTTAGATAATTTCAATGTTTTAAGTCTCGAATCGAAAAATAATTATTATTCAAATTATTCTATCCAAGGGAAAAAATATCCAAGATCTTACATGTATAAAATAAATGTCGGATCTGAAACGTATTCATTTATTGCCATAGATGCTTGTTTAAAACCTGGACCAAAAAGACCATTCAATTTTGTTGGTGTTTTGGATAATAATGAATTAAAGAAGATTGAAGAATTAGTTAATATATCTAATAACAATAATGCAGATTATATCATTTGGTTTGGACATTATCCAACGTCCTGTATATTATCACAATCTAAAACGAATATTAGAAATATTATAGGTATACATGCATTATAAATAATACTGAACTTTATTCATTCCTTTTTTTTTTTCTTGACTCTAATAAATGTTTATAATATTAAAGGTAAATATAAAGAAAGTATGGTGTATTTATGTGGTCATTACCATACTCTCGGTGGTACTGTTCCATACATGTATACAAAACAACAAGCGGGATTTCTTGAATTAGAATTGGCAGATTGGAAAGATAATAGAATGTAGAATTTTTCATCTATTAATTTACTATGCTATTGATAAGCTTAATTTTACTTTATATCTGTATTTGTTATTATAGGTATCGACTTGCAGCAATAGATCATGGACAGTTCTCATTTATTGATATAAAACATCAGGATTGGCCTGTTGCATTAATTACCAATCCAAAACATGCACTTTATATGATGCCTCGTAAAGAAAATATTCATTCTATTATTAAATCTACTCACATAAGGTAATTTTAATGAATTTTGTTAAAAATTAATAAGAATATATATATATATATAAAAAAATTAATAAATGATTATAATAAATAGGGTATTAGCATTTTCAACAGCATTAATAAAAAGTGTCCAAGTACAATTGGATAATGGGCCCTGGTTACAATGTAAAAACATAAAAGGATCACTCTATGCTGTCAAATGGAATCCTTTGGAATATATCAATGGAATTCATTATATTCAAGTATTGTATAATTTATAAGTATTATTGTATTTGATAATAATGTATTATGTATCTAATTATTATTTATATTTTCGTACAGGTTCGCGTAGTGGATGAAGAAGATAGAGACAAAATAATAAAACAGCCATTTTCACTTGATGGATCAAGATTATCATTTGGTTTTTTACCTAGATTGATTCTTATGTCCAATGTTAGTCATATTGTAAGTTATTTTATTCAACATTATTATTACTAATCATTGAAAAATATTTATAATAGTTTCTTGTTTCATCTATTATTATTATTATTATTATTATTATAAATTTCATTTAGTTTCAGTTCTTATTTGGAAGTGTACTTATATTAATAGTAGTACCATTGTGCGTATTTCGTTGTCTTCATATACTTTGTGAAGGTAAACTAAATATAATTTGTATTTTTGTAGAATATTTGTATGTCTGTAAAAATAGAAACAATTATTTATTATGAATTTTTATGATTAGCAAAACGTATGTCACGTCCAAGGATACGTGTAAGGTTCATCCATTGGTGGATTAGAAAATTATGGATATTATCTACCATCGATCGTTTATTTTTTCCTCTAGTTCTTTACGCATTATATTTAACTGTTGGTATGTCATTTATCTTTTATTATATTTAATTAATAAAACAATGTAACACATATTAACACGTGTAATACATAAAATATTAAAATCAATGTATAAAAGTATTGATTAATTTGATGTAATATTGATATTGATTTTGATTTAGGTCCATGGACTATCGGTGAAGTGATTGAAAATCATATTGGAATAATATTTGCTTGGGGTACATACGTTGATAATTCATTTTTACCTGGAGCTTTTACTTATGCATATGGATTCTTTCAATTATTTTCTTTTCATTTACCATTAATGTTAATTTTGGCACATCAAGCTGATAAAAGGTAAAATACATACAATGTAATCAATAAAATATATAAAATAATATCATAATTAATTATTATAACAATTGAACTATAGATTACAAAACACGGATGGAACTTATAAAAGATCATCTAAAATTTGTTTATTATGGCAAAATTTACCATTAATATTATTAGTTATAATGCAAATAAATATGGCGTACTTTTTCTGGTTGGCTTATGGAACAATTGCAACTATTTTGTGTCCTTTACGTACTTGGAGTATTTTCTTAGCATTATATTTGTGGCATCAGGTCAATACGATGCCACAAGCATGCTTCAGGTTTGTACACAAAATTATCATTTTTATTTTTATTGTTTATATGTACAAATTATATGTATTAATGTATGTTACATATGTGTTTTGTTTTTTTTTCTTTCATTTCAGACCAGCATTATCGATATGGTCTAGCGTTGCTTGACTTGTACAAACAAATTTTCATTAAATGTAAGTATAGAAAATTATCGACCGAATGAAACGAATTTATCATTTACAACATCAATCATTACAATTTACAATTTGAATTATTATTTACTATAAGGACTAATGAACATTGTGTTCACGCAATATAAGATTTTTAGTATTTATTTAGAAAAACAATATACAAATGATAAACGTTAACGTTTGTATTTCAACTGTTAATAACTTTGTCTGTGTGGGATTAATGAAAATCCTTTTAATTACTTGTTACGCATTTGTGTTTTTTTTTTTTTTTTTTTTTTTATAAATATTTCTATTAATGAGTTTTATTCTCGTACAAATAGAAAAATACAAAATTTATTCACTTATCATTAATCAAATCTTGAAATTTTGAAATGCAATAAATTATAGTCATATATAAATACTCTCTTATTTATACACTTAAATATGTGATACGTTTTAAAAAGAAAAATAAGTGAGATGATTAATTAATCTAGGTAATAAATCCACCGTTTTTCTCTAATTACCTCTTAAATAATATATTATTAATATAATAATTAAGTATTATTATAATATTATAATAATTATAAAATTCCGAATATTAATTATTCCATATTAATGCAAGACAAATCACATCTTCCTTAATAACAACAGCAAACATAAATAACAATCTTAATTAATACTATATATTTTTCTACATCTAAACTGTACATTATATGATATGATATACTCCGTAACGTTATTATTATTATTATTATTATTATTATTATTAATTTGTTTTTTTACAAGTTTTTATTTTTTGACTAATAGAACATAGTTATTCTATATATTAATTATAATGTAGAATATGTGTGAAGTGCCATCAATAATATATTAATTAAATTATACATATTATACATTAATTTTATTACGAATAAGATAATAATCGTATTCACGTAGTAGTAAATATTATTCAAAAATTATTATTTAATATTTTTGTTCTAAGATGTTATATATAAAAAATTACATTTATTTAAAATAGTTTTCCTTTTTTTTTTTTTTTATTACAATAGTCATTATAATAAATAGTAAATTTATTTAAATAGTTATTTTTTATGTTAACAATCGTATTATGTTATTAATTTTATTATTATTATTATTATTATTATTATTATTATTACAAGAATGATGGTACTTTTCATATAACAATTGAAAACAAACAAATTGCTGTGCTATGTAAAATAAGTATTGCTACATATGTGCCAATAAATGTTGTAGATAAACAAATGACTATAATCATTTCTTTTTTTAACAATATAAATAAATATATATATATATATATATATATATATAGAAAATATTAATTTAATGAAATAAATTATTGAATTTTAATTTTTTATTACAATTTGTATTTAAATAATTCAAAATAGCGCACTACTTAGTTCAGTTTATCTTTCCTAGAGTGAGCTGTAAGTACTTACGTTAGTACGTAAGTACTTGGAGACAGTAGTACTTTTGAGATAAATTTAAATAATAAATTGAAAAAAAATTATTAAAGAAACATGGCTGATAATCCTGATATTCAATGGGCATTGAAAATTCTTACACCTGATCCCGATTATGAACCTTCTTATTATGAAAAATATGGACCAATTGTTGGAATACCACTTTCATTTGTTGGTGGAGCTTGTTTTCGAAATAGATTTTTGGGTAAACCCGCGTTTTCAGGTAATTCAATGAATTATTTATAAATTTATTTCTTATTTACATAAATCTATGTATCTTAAATTAATTTATTTAAATTAAAATGGCAACAATTAAAAAATTAACAATTGACATAAACCTAACCTATAGTATGTCGATTATGCAACACTTGTCTTAACATCAATAAATTGAATTATATTGAAATTAATTCAAGCTATTGATGAAAATAATTAAATGATTATAATAATTTCTAATTAATATCATTATTATTATTATTATTATTATTATAAATTGTGTTTACAGGTATTCAAGTACACATTATTTCAGCATTGTTATCATTTGTAGCAACGTATAAAGTTACAGAGTTTATGAAAAATCGTAATGCAGAAAGAGATCAAATGCTTCGTCATTATGTTATGTTACATCCAGAAGATTTTCCAGAGCCTGGTAATATGAAATTATTTAATATTTAACACGTTCGCTACCAATGTCACATATCTGTGACAAACTCCATTGAGATTTCTGTTGAGATTCCAGCATGGCATATTTGTGATTGTAAACAATACGAAAAATGAATTATAGGATGTAATTGAAATCTCTTTTTTTTTTTTTGCAACGTACTAACAAAAGTGTTAAATTATAATTTCATTGTTAAACATTTCAATAAAATAATAATGCTTTCATTTTTTTTTTCAGAACGTAAAAAGTGGGGCGAAGTTTTCGAAAAATGGTATCCACATCGTTAGGTAATAATACAATTATTTAAACAAATATTGTAACTCGAGAGTATACATAGAGCTATAATTGTAGCTATAATATCTTTTACGTATATGTATATATATATATATTATTTTGGATTATATTATCACATAGGATCAATTAATACATCAAATATTTACCTGATCTCGTGTCGCTATGTTTTTAATAACATAATAAATAAATTAATCTAATATGGACTTTTGCGTATAAATTTATACAAGTTAAACAAAGAACAGATCATATAAAGTAGAAGATCTTATTGTATATAATTAAATATTGAAAGAAATAATATTTGATTAGTCTAAGATTAAAAGGTAAAATTAATTGAAATAATTGTGACAAATAAAATTGGTCATTTAAATATTATACATATACTTTAAATCGAATCTGTTAATATTGATTGTTGAAACAAAAGAAAAAAGAAAACAATTATATTACAATGAGGAATGAAATTTGTTATAAGTGCAGAAGGAAAAAAAAACAAAAGACTAAAATATTACACAACCTTATATGATTTTTTATACAATTCAATCAAACTTGATCAAATGAAATATAGATTGTTTATAGTAAACATTTTTTTTGTTTGTTTTGTTTTTGACAAATTTTGTCATTCTTCTTATTGATATCATATGTATATATATGATAATAATATTTCTTTGAGTAATAAACTATAATATTTATAGAGGTAATTCTTACAAAATTTGTAGAGACATTCTCTTTGCCAACGAATAAAATCAATGAACTTTATCACACGTAGCAACCATTTTGACGATAACAATAAAACAAAATGTAACTTAACTTGACGATCATAATATTACACCTAATTTTTCATTTAGAAATTGTCATTTATTTCTTTTCAGGATTATAATTATCGTTGTATAATCCAGTACCTTTTGCATCTCCCAACCATGGATATTTATATGGACATTCTCTACATGTTTCCAAGTACCTGTATAAAATCATTTGATGTTACATCAAGTATATTTATACTTAAACAATTAATCATTTATTTTAAATATACCTAGTTGTAGTGAAATTGGATTCTGGTGGTTTAAAGTCCAATGCACACTTATTTGGATTATTACATGGTGGTCCAGGAATATTTTCTTTTTTCTTACATGACCAACCTTCAAAGTTATGTAAAGATTTAACTGGTTTTGGATCAGTTATCCAAGTTAATGCTTGTGTGGCAGTTACAAAATAAACGTCTGGTCTGTAAAGAAGATAAATATTTTGTTAATACAACTAATAAGCTAGATTTTTATATTGAAATATTAGAAAATAATGAAATGTTTACAATGTTACTGCCCAATCAAGGAATTTAGAAAGTCCTCTTTCAAGTTCTTTTATTTGAAACCAATTTGTATGGAAAGGCATCATGTATGGTGCTCTATTTTGTTCATAATATCTGTTGAAATCTTCTTGTAACCATTCGAATACTTCTTCAGGATCATGATTATGTAATACACATTGATCCAAATAAGGACAATGTCCACCCTCATAACTTTCAACATAATGAGCATTTAATGGTATTTCCCATACTCCTATAAGAAGATACATGAAACGTCTTAATCATGTAATAAATTATTCATTTTTATTTAATTAAAGTAATGATTATACCTGGAAATGATTTAGTAGGACAGGTACCAGCTTTACATTCATGGGGTATTTTGTAATCAAGAGTATACGGCCATATTGGTGTTTTTAACGGTGAAATTCCAATACTACTATCATATATGTAACCAAAATCTTCCAATACTTTGTATTGTGTATTTCTACCAGGTTTCAAGTACGGTCCTCTCATACCAACTATTTCATTAGCTGAAATGTTACTAAAATGTTTGAGAATTTCTCGCATTCCAATCATCTCACCAACCCATTCTTCGTATCCTTTATCTTCTAATCCTTTTTGAAGCCTAAAAACATATATTTAATTGAAGAATTTTACTTAACAAATTAAAATAATCATTTGAATACTTACGAGATTGTTTCTGTTGCTATTTCATGACCATCGTGAGCTAAACTTTGTACCATATTATAATTACAATACTCGTGTGAAATGAAAAAGGTACCTTTAAGTGGACAATTATTAGGATTCAATCGATCTTGTGTAAATATCTTTTGATAATGATCAAAATTATTATGATTTATTGCTCCGTCAAATGTTATTATTATCATTTGTGGTGTCTGTAAAAAGTCAAATGTATTATTAAATAAAAAATACAGATGTTTAATATTATTAAATGAGATATATGTATATGAAAATGAAATGTAAACAAAATTATACTTCTTCCGGTTGAAGGCCACCAGGTATAATCGTACCATCTCTTGAACAAAAACAGTACGGAAGTTGGCAATTTGCTGTGTCACATCTTTCAGCAAGATCCGTTGGAGGATCTGTTACCGGAGGTGGAGCTGAACAAAATACAACAAATAAAAACTTATGAATGATAAAGTGAATATTTGTGTATATTTACTTGCAGCAATAGGACCACAACGAGCTTCATTTTTGAAGGTACAAAATTTGCTGATATCATCAAAGTGTAATCCTGAAGGACACCTGTTTAAATATGGATATCCATCTACACACTGTCAAAATATAAATTATAACAGTGTTAATATTTTTGTTTGAATATTCTTTGTAAGGTAAAAATAAATAAAATATTTGATTATTTATTAAAATACAAAAAATAAAAAATACCTGATAAAATCTTCTACAGGTCGCAGGATCCGCAAAATTTCCATTTCCCTGACCTTCCGGACACGTAAATTCTTCATCTTTTTTATCCTCATCCTTTTTATTCTTTTGGCATTGTACTACAGCAAGAAGAAAAATACAAACAAATATTTTAGCCTTGACATAAAAAAAAAATAGAAGAAGAAATAACATGACGTCTTTTATGGGCTTTACGAAGAAGTTGAAGGATTAATAATTACCATAGATTAAAAATTAAATTGAAAGTTGGTCGTTTCGTATTGGACGAAAATGTCAAGGCTGAAGATTTAACGTTGGTTAAAACAAGGATGAATATAATAGCATAATTGTCTGTGTTCCATATTGACTAGATTATTTCATTTTTTATATCTATATATATATATATATCTTAAGATAACTTAAGTTGATTATGTGGACTCGAAGAATTGAATTAATTTCTGTACGGTTAAGTCAAGATATTTATCTGTGTCATTTAATCTATGCAACAATCAAGTATATACGTTACAATCTAATCGTTTAATTATTTATAACCGTAGGCTCTTTCACAATAAAAAAAAAAAAAGAAAAAAAAGAAAAAGTAACAATTTATGTTATCCGTACGATGATCTTATCTTCAATGAAAGAAGAAGAAGAAGAAGAAGAGTCGTTGAACTCTCCAACTTGGCAGCCATATCATCGGAATTATATTCGCTTCGTTAACGACAACCACCATTATAAAATAAACGTATATAATTATTATCTATTATCTAAGAATTGTTTTGAATCTATTAGAAATTATGTTAGTATGTATCATCATAAACACTACTGTAATTATGATACCTTCTGTAAACGTTTTTCGAAAGATTAATATTGTAGTTGAATTATTTCGTAACGAATTGAGTAAACAATAGCAGGATGTAAGTCCTATCAACAATAACAAACTGTACAAAGGATTATACTTTTAACTATTTCTATTTTGCATTATTTTCTTTGATTTTCAATATTTTTCTCCTACATTTTTATATTACTATTTACAGAAATCTACAACGCAAGATATTTCATATATCGTCATAGTGATCATCGATGAAGATGAAGATGAAGATGAAAGTTAATGCATGCATTCAAGGAAACTTACACATATACAAGAAGCAAGGAAGGAAAATGGGTTGAGAGAAATTTAAAAGATATCTGAAAAGAAGTCTTGAGAAAGTGATGAAGAACGCGATTGTGACATACCAATCTTGTACCTGTAGTAACCGTACTAAAAACGTGTTTTTAAAATTCGACACACAAACCGAATTATCTTCAAAGGATCTCTTTTTTTTCTTTTTCGTTTTGAATGTTAGTCACAACATTGAATTGCTCGTTACAGGGTCAATAAAAATGACACGAAGTAAATCGAATTGATATAATAATGTTTGGTGATAAAAAGAATTTTCATTATTTCATGTGAGAAGAGGAATCTTTTACAAGGACAACGAAATTATTTCTGTTTTTTCTTTTTGTTAATTTTCTGTTAATTGTAAATTCATAATTACAATTAATGTTTCTTCAACTTCGAAAGTTTTTTGTTATTAATGTAATTGCGTAATGGATGTATTTTAATAATTAATTTTGATTTAATGTTGATATGGAATGAATGAAAATTGTTAAAAAAAAAGAAAAAAAAAACAGAATTAATTCACATACGTAAATTATACATATATTTATATTAATTAGAAGGAAAGAAAAATATGGGAAACTCGTTTTACTTCCAACAAGTAATTTTGACTGGTTTTAGTAATTCTAACTTTAATTAAATACGACATTTTTTTTTTTAATAGGCTTATATACTCGTAGTATATTACATGTTGAGAAAGTAAATACTTGGATTCTATAACCAGTCCCTCTGTTATTATTTTCTAAACAAATATTCATCTTCTATGATATTTCTTCTATTTACGTACTTTCGATATTTTAATTTACATAGAAATTCTTGTCGTTAGTTTTACATATTTTATATAAAAATAAGAAATGTAACATTAAATTTATATACATTATTTATTATATTTGTTAATTAGTTTTAATATTACATTGAATTATTCATAAAATTGTTATTTTCAATATAAACAAAAAAATCAAGCATCAAGCAAAAAAAAAAAAACCAGACTCTAACAAATTCTATAAATGAAATTCATTCAAATTGAATTGTTTAATTTTTTATACGTATATACGTATGAAAATAATATTATAAATAATTATATAATAATAATACATAACTAATTTATTATTTAGTATATATAATTAAATGTATATGCTATATACTAAGATAAAAATTATACTATATAATTATTTATAATATTATTATATTAATTTGTATAATTGTAACAAAATGATGAGAAAAACATTATTTATTTCTTTGTTTGTTTCGTATATTTATTTACTTGCACACAATCATAAATATTTAATTAACGAACAATAAAATAAATTCATTATATTCTTCTTATAATTGACAATTATTATTATTTTATTGTTGTTCCCATAGATATTGAATATAAATGATATAAATCTTTCAATTAAGACATTAGAAAGATTTATTAATCATGATTATTTATTAACGATTCAATGAAAATAAATATCTCATTTTATTCCGACTAAAATGTTATATTCGAATGTGTTAAAATCATGTGCGTATACGCAGCCACCAGGAGAAAGTGGCCAACGAGGAAGAGTCTTATGCTTGATTTTATGATTGTTAATACACAAACCTGATCTTAATCCTGACACTGTTGTCTGAAATAATTCGAAGATGTTATAATACTAAATAATGAAATATTTCATTGAAAAATTCCGATTTATTCGATTAATAGATCAAATGTTTTGTGTTGTTCAAAATTATTCATTCAAATGATCAATGTGTTATCATTAATTATACGATATTTTTGTTCTTATAAATTGGAATTATTTATATTATCGAGTTTAACAATTATTACGTATGATCTCATTTAATATAAAATCATTTCGATGATGATGATGATGATTATGGGGTATATAAATCGTGCTTGTGTTGTGTGTAGATGTCAAAACATATATATATGTTTAACTTACAAAGTGGAAAGTGAAGGTACCGGTGTGGCAATGACGTTGTACCTACTAGCAAACTGTTCAGGTGCAACATTTCTATTTGTGTGTGTGTGTGTGTGTGTTCATGTGCGTGCGTACACGTACACGTGTGTGTTAATATCTTTCTTCTTGAATCCTGCTATAATGCCATATGTGCAGGTAGTCAGACTTATGTAAATATATGAGTGAAATCAACGAGGATTCTGTTTAATCAAAATATTCATCTTGAATGTTCTTTGTTCTTAATTCAAAAAAAAAAAAAAAAAAAAAAAAAAGAAGAAAGAAAGAAAGATAAAACATTCGCCATAGTAAAGGATCATTAATTGTCAATCCTTTTTCTTTCTTCTTCTTTTTTGTTCCATTCAAAATCAAAATTTTATATGCGCAGGTAGGAGGAACACTTATGTAAATATGAATGAAATCAGCAAGGATGTTGTTTTATTTAAATGTTCGACGTGTGTCTTTGTTCCTGGAACCAACGCGACAAAATAAATTGAAAAATAGTGAGAGAATTATTTTTTGTAAAAAAAAAAAAAAAAATATAAATCTTGTTTAAGATAAAATATAGGAAAAATCAACATGGATAATTGTTTCGATATTTCAATTATTCATTTTTCTTTTAAAAAATTGAACAAAATTCATCATTTTGTTTTATTGAAAAGAACAATTTTTCAATCCCTTTTTTTTTTTTTTATTAAGATTGTGATTAAAGTTCTTTCCAAGAAATAATTCCACGTGTAGGTGAGCAAAGAAAGGTTGCGTTGAATTCCAATAACAAGAACGTACGTTCGAACGTACAGCTAAGATAAAGAATAGAATTCCTTTTATTGTAATGAGAAATGTAATATATGGAGGACAGAAGAAATAATAAGAGAAGATATAATAATTGTTAACATTAATCTAAAAAAAAAAAAAACAAAAAAACAAAAAATTCCCAAATGAGTGTCATCGATAATAAAACCTCGATGAATCTCGATCGGTCGTCTAGTTTCGTAATTTTCGAAAGGGATTCGCGATGTTTTACGAATTCAGACGACAAGGACGACTGGATCTCGTTTTATCCAACGACTCCAACAAGCAATCTCTCTCTTTTTCTCTCTTTCTATCTTTCATTCTTTCTTTTTTCTTCTTTTTCTTTTTCTTTCACCGTTACCACCTCTGTTTCTTACAGTTACGTATATAATATCATTAACGTTAAATAAATTTAAATAAAAAAAAAAAAAAAAATGAATGATTTAACATTCCATTAACTTTCACACTTTCTCGACATGACAAAATATTAATCAAAATAAAAAGTAAAATAATCAATAAATGAAATAACGAACGGATGATTGTTAAATGTTATCTTCCTACCTGTGACAATGATGATCAAAATGACGCACAAAAGCGTCTTAAGTCGAAAAGACATTTCTTCTTTTCTTTTTTGAGGGGATGTCTGATCTTGATCGTCCGTTCGTATTTGTACTTGAAAATATATTGTCCGTTTTACCGAATAAAATAAAACAAAACAAAACAAAAAAAAATTGTTATTACTTCTACCGTATTGTTGTTACCAATTTATAGTCCTTGGTAAAAAAAAGAAAAATCTTTTATCTATCAATGTGACTAACACACCGGATAGCACGACACTGCAAAGAGATGATAAATCGAACCGGTATTGCCACGATACTAAAAGAGAACCCACTTCTTCGACAGGGAGTTACAGTATTCTTCTCAGCTCATTGGTTGACCACTTTCTACGAACGTTCGCTGAGAAATGTTGCCTTCTAAATGAGATGGGCTACCTAAGTATCGTATCATTCATTCTACATCGACGACCACCTTTTTTTCTTTCTTTCTTTCTTTCTTATTTTTACTTCTTAACTTTTGTTCTTCAATTTTTCAAAATGTACTATGATTTTTTTCTTAATAATCATTTTTTGGAAAATAACATTTTCTATTAATATTAATGTGTATTTTTATCTATGTAAGTAATTTTGTAATCATCGAACAGTTAAAAGATGAAAAATTGTAGAATTAAAAACGTTTGTACTTTTATTATTATTATTATTATTATTATTATTATATTATTATTTAACAAATAATCAATGTGTTTTTCCTTTTGTCCTAAGTTCACATTTCGTTTAATTTTATTATAAAATGATCGTTTTATATTTCTTTTTATAATAAAATGGATTAATTGGACTTGGTATTGGGCTAGCTTTTAAAACACCAACCGGTGGTTTTTTATTAGCATCGAAAGGAATCGCTGGACTTTGTTTAATTTGTTCTAAATAATCTGACGTGTGTTGTGCAGTGTTACGTTGTAAAACAATTTTCACACGTTTCTTCTGTCCTAATTCATTGATCAATTTATTTTGTTTATCCGTGTTTTCTGTTGAATTCTAAAAATCATAATTAAATTTCAATTATATTTTTCTCAATATTAAATTACATTATAATTATTGTTTATTTAAACTTTTTAATAACTTACCATTGATTTATCTAATCCTGGAGTTAATGGTATTATTTTGTTATCAAGTGTTTCGTCATTTTTATCATTTAATATCGATTTATCAATTTCTTCATTAGACGAGTTATTTATTTTATTTTGATTATCATTAATTGGTACAACGTAATCTGATATTTCCCAATGACCACAAACATTATTTTTGATTTTCTTCAATTTATTCATAATGATATTTTTCGTCGTATTTTTCTCATTAATCAACGTTGATTTTATTTTCATTCCTTTAGATTTATTTACCTTATGTTTTAAAGTTTTATTTTCTATTTGATCTATTCGTTTCTTTTGTTTATTTTTATTATTAATCTTCAAATCTTTCGAACATGATTCTTCTGTCGTAGTTTGATTGGATTCGTCTAAATGATTTTTTATATCTTGATGTAATTTTTTCTTCTTATTTAATTTTTTATTATTCCTTTCTAATGTAATATCTTTGTCAGTATTAATTTCTTCTTCTAATTCATCGATTAAACTTTCATCTGATTGTCCATTTCTTTTTCTTTTTCGTTTACTTTCATTACTATCAGAGTACAATTCTTCGTTAAATTTAAGTAATCGTAATGCAGCTTTTTTGGAATCTGTTTTAGAACTAAATTTGCGAACAAGTTCTACTTGTTGTACACCAATAGGCATTTTACCTTGGGATAATTCTACAAATCTACAAATAATAATATTAGAATAAAAAATGGGAAAGAAATTATTAGAATATTTTAAGAATAAATTTGAATTACTTACTCGTCAATAAGACGTGCAATTTGTCTTCGTGATTTTGTTGTTGATGATGGATGAAATTTGTATAATTTAATTACCTCTGATATATTTTTAGCATTAAAATTAATTTGTGGTAATTCGACGTCAACTCTACCAGCTCTTGGATCTAAAACTTTGACTGTATTCTCTGTTGATTCTTTATCAGAAATCAATTTTGTATCTTCTTCATTTTCTTCGTCAGATTCTTCGATTTTTTGCATTTCGTCAATACTTTTACAAGGAAATCCAGCCTGTACGTAAACATATGTTTATTAATATTAAGTTTATACAATTTGAAATAAATCATTAACATTGATCACTTACTTTTCTCCAAGCTTCAAATTTTTCTTTGTAATCCATGCCAACATCAGATTGAAAGATAAGATATCTAAAAATATGTCTCATTACGTGCCTTATTAATCTTTCATCTCCCATTACAGCTAAGTATGCAATAAATGGTTCGACAAGTCTAGTAACAACATCTTCTGGTACGTTTCCATTGCTGACCTACAATAAAGATAGAAATAATGGTATCTAAAACTCGTTTAAATATTTCATGAAATATTTACCTTTGCTATTTCTTCCCAATATAATTCAGTTACGTGCATTTTAAAACCTAGACAATATTTTGGTTCTATCAATATCTCTTGTAATATTTTCATTAAACCTTCTACCCATTCCATGTCCCAGTTCTTGTCGTGACATATTTTAAATATCTGCCGGAATATTCTTCTCACTAACTGTAAATAAATAAAGTAATATAATTAATATGCTTGTTTGTAATGGTACTACAATCCAAATATTTATAATAAAAAATGTTTAAGAGCTTTGTTAATTGTACAATCATAAATTAAGAAATGGTGGTACAATAATGTCAGTATTTTTTTTTTTTTAGTATAATAGTATAATTAATATAAATTAACTATTACTATGTTTCGATAAAACTAGGAATACATTTTATAAACTTACCATTGCAAATTTATCCAATCTATATTGATCTATGCCAAACCATTCTATTGCTAAAGTTTTTAAAGTACTTTTGATATATAATAATACTAATGGCATAGAATCGAAACAATGAATAATTTTACTAAGAGATTCAGCTAATTCTTCTTGATTTAAAGGTTTGTCAGCCATCCACATACAGTAAAACAAACCTTTCCATAATCGCATAAAATCTTCTTCTATAAATTCTATTAAAAAAAAAAAAATGAATCACAATTAATTATGTATTTAAAAATTGTCATTTATAATATATAAAATAATATAAACTCACCAAATGAACTTTTAGAACGTACTGTTAACCATTTCTTCAAACTTTTTAAAACCTTGTCCCTTATTCTTTTATCATTGCACGACAGTAATCGTACAAATTTAATTTCTTGTTGAATAATCAATGCTTTCTTATTTTTAACTTTTATTTTCTTTTCTTGTTTTTGTTTATCATTATTTTTAAAAGAATCCGGTTTACGTTTTTTAAGCCCACGTGTATGCCGTTGTGCTTTCTTTATAGCCATCTTTTTTCCTTATGTCTTTACACGAACGATAATTAATTAATTATAATTCACAAATTTTATTTTAATTAAATGCAATTCTTGGCCTATTATTTTTATTATATATCTTGATTTACACACGACACGACACATTTAATGCATAATCACACATTCACTATTACTTGATGCTTCATTCTTACCATACTGCTAAACATCTGTGAATGCGTGTACGCATGCGCAATATGAATGAGTACACGCATGCGCAATACGGATGCGTACACGAATGCGCGCGAGGTACGAAGTGGTTGCAGGAATACCAACATAAATATTGTTATATCCCTTTGACTTGAGAGAGATATTTAATAATATTGCATTTATGCAATAAATAATAAAATGATGCATAACTCAATAAAATATATTTTTAAATTGTTCATACAACAATTTTATATACAAAAGTAAGATTTAAAAAATATTGACGATAATATTTGAAAAGATATTATGTGAAAATAAAATTTAAATTCAAATTTAAAAAATTGGTTCCTCTATTGAGAAAAAAAAAACGTGGACAAGTTGACCAATCAGGTAAATACGATAAGGAGATAAATGATTAGTCACCGAATTAAAGGGTTATCTGATGTTCCAATCAAAACTGATTGTAGGATCTTGTGAATGAAGTTAAATATATATATTTAATTGGTCGATATAGAAATAATACGATCCCGTCATTGATTTAATAAAAGCATTTGTTTTCTTTTATTAAAGGTAAGTTATTTAAATAAAACTTCAACTCTTTTTTTTAAATCTTAATCGTTCTTCCAGGTATGCCATTGTTAATAATATACCATCTCCTCTATGCATTAAAATATTTCCAATAAACGTGGGGTGAAAGTTGTGATTAGTTTTGACAGGAGGATCAATTAAATCATCTGTTAAATTATTTTTTTGTCATTTCATCAATTAATAATATACATTAATCAAAATGCCAAATATAATAAATGATATTAAATTAGACTTTAAGGATGTTCTTTTACGACCAAAAAGGAGTACATTAAAAAGCAGATCAGATGTAAGTTTTAAATTACATTTTAAATATTTTCATGATACAGTGTAATTCTATACTGTCATTCTTTTTATTTTATAAATCATTTACCATTACTTTTATGTCAGTAAATTGTGAAATATTGAATTTATTTGATAAGTTCAATTACTCACAAATAATCTGAACATAACTTATAATAAATAATTTTATATAAAAATATATAATATCATTTATATTTGTTAGATAATTTATCTTATTAATTATCAATGTAAATATTTATTTGAAACATTTATATTTTAGGTTGATCTTTTTAGAGAAATTACATTTCGCAATTCGAAGCAAACTTACAGAGGTATACCTGTAATGGCTTCGAATATGGACACAGTAGGAACATTCGAGATGGCACGAGCTTTATCAAAGGTATAATTCATTTATTTAACATATAAAATACTATTACGATGTTGAACTTTAATGTTGGCTATTTTATAAATTAAAAAAAAAAATCAAAAAGAACAATTGTTTTATGAATATGAATCATAGGTATTATTCACGATTCAATATACAGTAAATACAAAGTAATCACATATAGTTGTTTTTTATATCAACGTTTCAGAATTATTAAGATCTAAAAATAAAAAATAAAAAAGGAAATAACTGAAAGAAATCAAAAATCGACGTTATTATACATTATTGGATTCTAGTTGCTTGTATTATTCAAAATGGATCATTTTATGCTGCCTTGGGAAATTCCAATTTAAAGTTACACCGTGTATGAAAGTTATTCAAAGTTATTAACATATGTATCATTGTATAAAATTATATCCAACATTATAATCACGAAATAATTGATTATATTAAATTAATATTAAACATTTTTTATTGATTAATACATTAAATCTTTGACAATATTTTTAGCATGGGCTTTTTACTACTATTCATAAGTATTATACAGCAGATGAATGGAAAGATTTTGCTGCGCAAAATCCGGAATGTTTAAAAAATGTTGCTGCTAGTTCCGGCACAGGGAATGAAGATTTTGGAAGGCTTTCAAGTATTATTGCTGCTGTGCCACAACTTTCATTTATATGTTTAGATGTTGCTAATGGATATTCGCAACATTTTGTCGAATATGTTAGAAAAGTTAGATCTGAATATCCAAATCATACTATAATTGTAAGTGTTCAATAAGATGTATAAAAATGTATAAGATATATATATATATATACGAAAATTTCTTTAAATAATTTTATCACAGGCGGGCAATGTTGTAACAGGAGAAATGGTAGAAGAATTAATACTTTCGGGAGCTGATGTAATTAAAGTAGGAATAGGTCCAGGTTCTGTATGTACTACAAGAATGAAAACAGGTGTTGGATATCCTCAATTAAGTGCTGTGATTGAATGTGCGGATGCTGCACATGGTTTAAAAGGCCATATAATTTCTGTAAGTAAATATCATTGATTGATCATACTAAATACAAGATAATGTTAATAATTATTTGTATTATATTTTAGGATGGAGGTTGTACGTGTCCTGGTGATTTAGCAAAAGCTTTTGGTGCTGGTGCTGATTTTGTCATGGCTGGTGGTATGTTTGCTGGTCATGAAGAATGTGGAGGTGATATAATTAATAATGATGGAAAGCTGTATAAATTATTTTACGGTATGGCTTCTAGTACAGCTATGAAAAAACATGCTGGTGGTGTTGCTGAGTATAGGTGAGTATAATTATAATTTCATACAACGTATTAATAAAATATATTTATATTTTCTATTAATGTTATTGTTTTTATAGGTCTTCAGAAGGAAAGGTCGTAGAAATACCCTACAAGGGTTTAGTTGAAAATACAGTTTTAGATATGTTAGGAGGTCTACGATCTGCGTGCACTTATACAGGTGCAGAAAGATTACGTGAATTGCCAAAACGTGCAACTTTCATTCGTTGTACGCAGCAATTAAATCCAATTTATGGTCCACCATCAAATGTTTGAAAATAATTCCTAAATAATCTGTTGTAGTGTAATTTTTAGACAAAAAGGGTTTCTGATTATTCATTTTCCCCCCCTAGTTACCAGGCATTCATATTTTTGCTGGCAAAATTATTTATAAATCATATTTATATATCTATATATATATATATTATATTATATTATAAGTGTTTTATTAAACTTACATTGTTTACTATGCTTAAAGCGGGTGATAATATGTCTATGCACAAATAAACTTTTTTTTTTGCATGTATCTCATTTATTTCTAAAATTATTTAACCTTCCTACACCCACTTTTTAAATTAGATTTTAAATTTGAAAATTTTCATTAGGAATGTAACTGCAATAAAAAATTAATTTTTAATTAGTTGATTATGTTCATTTATATTGATGTATATAAAAAGAAAAATCAACTGAATTTTTATAAGAATACAATCTTCTTAACCTAAAAAAGAGTACTACACATTTTTCTAAAATTTAATTCAAAATTAAGAACAATTTCATTTATAAATTTATAATAATCAATAAACATACATGTGTAACTAGCTAATTCAAAAAAATGTAACACACCACTCAATGTATATATATATATATAAATCAGTAACGTGGATAAGAGTTCTCTTTTTCACCACAGATTTCAAAGGGGCGCTACTGTAACCAAACTAATTTTTCACAAAAAGATGTTAAAAACAGCGTTTATAACATTGATGATAACATACATAATTTGTAAACAATTTTGAAAAATATGATTCCATTTGAAAGATGAAGATTCAGGCCAACAAATGACTGGTTTGAATTTATTAAAATACATTATTTTCAGTGATAAAAATTGTTCCAAAAATATTGTTTTTTTTTTTTTTCTTACTAATGGTTTATAGATCAATATGAAGTAGCATCTTTAAAAGTAATTTTCTTCACAGAAAATGTTCATTTTGTTTAAATTCATATCAATCATTTATTTGCTTGAATCTTCATCTTTTAAATAAATCCTTGTTCATCAAAATCGATGAAGAATTATGCCTGGTATCTTCACTAATGTAAAAACAAACATTAATGGGATCCATATTTTTTCAGATTTTATACAAAGAAATAAATTTCAATTGAAAAATGATTTGATGGATAGATATAAAATTTACATGGGAATACTATAACATATAACAAATATGGGAATCGTATACTATATAAAATATTTTGTTCATATATAAACATAAATATCTTTATTTAAACATTAATATATCTACATACGAAGAGAAATTAATCACAAGCAGCAATTAAAAAATTTACTACTTCTAAGATAAATATAATACAAACCTTTATCATTTGCTTCAAAATATATATATATATTGAAGATAATAATAATAATAATAATAATAATAATATATAATATTTACAAATTAATTTTATACATGCACATTTACTACGTGTTTCCTTCTTATCAGGGATACTGGATAAATTTGTAGAAATAGAGATAGAGAAAGAGAGAGAGAGTGAGAGAGAGAGAGAGAAACCTTGTCCCTGAAACACTTCCATTAATTTCAATTGAGTAATTAAATATTAGAAAATATGAGCACATGTTTAGAAATAACAATTGGCATGATCTACAAAAAGAAGAATATCATCAGATAACGTAATAGATATATACTTTATGAAATGCAAAACATATCATTGAATAATAACACGTTTAAAAATCTTATGTATTAATTTGAATCATTGTAAATTCAAAATGTTAGAATGATGAACGATATATATATATTTTTTTTTTGAATGAAATTTTAAGTTATGAATTTGTATTAGAATTGTATTTAAATTAGAATTGTTTGTGTAACAATGGGATTTAACATTAAACATGTTTCTCGTTATAGTTTGAACAAAATGTATATCGAGATTTGTTTTTTGTTTTTTTTTTAAACAATACAAGTAATAATAGTAACAAATATTGGTTAGTATGATCAATTGACACAATGTATAACAAAGTGAAAAATAACATGCAGAATGTATTATAAAGAGAAAGAAAGAAATAGAAAAAAAAATAGAATAACAATTTCATGGTAATAAATGAAACTGTTAAAAAAAAAAAAAAAAATAAAGGAAAAATAAAATGAAAAATATATCAGTGAAATATTATTATTAATCTAAATAAATTATACAGTATTAATAAGATTAATCAATTCATATAAATGTTCATATTTTAGTGAATTATAACAAGTACATTAAAAGTATTCGTATTAAAATCTTTAATAATACTCTTTTAATATCAGAGCACATTTTATGAGTAAATTTTATATAAAGGAGAAACATAAATTATTTTGAATAAATTATCAGAATTTGATATTTCTTTTTTTTTTTTATATATATATATATATCAATTAAAGGGGAATTGTTCCTGCGAATCATATAATATTTGATTTATATAATTCGCAGTATGTATTTTTAATTAAATTGTGAAAATGAAATAAAATGTAAGAAGATAATTCTGTAATTTTTAATGCGAATAATGAGTATCAAGAAAATTTCAATATAAACAAAATAAACATGACATATTCAAACACAATTATTATAACATGTGTAATAAATTAGTTATTTATAATAATAATAATAATCATAATAATAATCATAATCATAATAATCAAAGATTGCATATATCAAAACATAATTCTTCAAAAAATATGATTAATTAATTAAAAGAAACCTTGATGCTAAACTTACCAATAACAAATGAATTATTCATTTAAAAAATATTCAATATTTGCATTAACAAATATTGAATAAATACTTACATACATTTATAAATATAAATATGTATATATACATATATATATATATATAAAATTGTTAAACAACACACCTAATGAAAATGAAATCTTATTAACTAGATGATTTTGTATTCGCGCTTATAAAGTAAACATGATAAAAAGAAAAGGAAAAAAAAAAAACGAGAGAGAAAGAGAGAGAGAGAAATCTTTCAAAATACGCTACACATTTGAAGAAGATAATTGGTTTATCATTTATACTTGTATGTGTTATACATATATAATTTCATCCACTAATCTCCAATTGTTTAGCAGGTCCTGTTTTCATTAAATATCAACATATAAGATAATGCTGGATAAGAGATATATTTTTTTTTGAAAGTCATGGATCATCATTATCATCATCATCATCATCATCATCATCACCATTATCATCATTATCATCATTATCATCATCATCACATTCCCCTGTATGCTGGTAGTAGTTTATTCTGCAGTGATCAAAGCACGCATCATCTCTCTAACATTGCCTGTTCAGCTCCCAAAAATCTAAAAATAGTTTGTGGTGTTTGACGAGAAAGAGCAAATAAATAAAAGTAATGTTGTATTTAGCATTGTTATAATAGCATATATGTAATATGTAGAGCATCATATATATATATATATATATATACATAATATGTATATATGGATGTATGTTTGTATGTATATATATATATATTATAGGTCTTGAGAGTACACATTAATCAATAAATTAATGAGTAATAAAAATAAACTTTTAGTTGTCTCTCTTAACAACCTTGTAGTAGTAGTAGTAGTAGTAGTAGTAGTAGTAGTAGTAGTAGTAGTAGTAGTAGTAGTAGTTGTTGTTATTAGAAGTTTGTAAAAATTGATGAACAAAAATATACTATGAATGAATCTGTTAGACATAAATAATAATCTATTGGATGGTAGATATACTTCTCAATATTTCGTAATTAACGCATTCGAAAGTATAATAATTTTCAACAATCATTTTCATGGAAACATTGGGTACAGTAATACATATATATATATATATATGGTTAAATGTTGGTGACCTCCCTTCCTCCTTCCTCTTTCAGACCTGTTGCTGCACCTGCTAGTTTTAACTTATGTTACAGTTATGTATTATATGAAATGAATTAAGTGTATACATACAATATCGTAATTAAAAACACAGGTGTGGACATCATATATATCATATCATATCATATCATATATCGATACATTACATTATTATACTATTCAATCAACTTCAATACTAATGTTTCCTTATTATCTTATATCTAAAAAAAAAAAAATGATGCATATACTTTTATAATATATATATATGTATATATACATATACATATATATACATATATATATATTGGGGGTATACATGTGTTCATGTATAATATTTGTATATATTTATGTATGTTTCATATGTAAAAAAAGAACAAAAAATAATAATAATAATAATAATGATAATAATAATAATAATAATAATGATAATAATAATAATAATATAATGATAATAATAATAATAATATAATAATAATAATAATAATAATAATAAATTGTAATATAAGTATTAATAGAATATAATTGTATCTAACGGTGTATTTTTTTTGTTTTAGTTAATAATGGGTTTTTTTTCTTTTTTAATATATATATATATATATATAGCAAGCGAGCAATGTAGTAATTCTTTTTTTGTTATATATATATATATATAATATGTATATATATATATAAAAACATATGAAGAGATACAGCAGGCATTAACCACATCCCGATGGAAAGCTATTTGAAAACTATCTGAAATAAACAAATAATTATAATAAAAGAGATGACCCTATTATTAAAAAAAAAAAAAAAATGGGGGACAAATAGAAATTCAAAGGTGTAATAAATATTTTAATCGTCAATATATATCATTGAGCACACATTTTTCGTATAGTTAAAATTGCTATAATATATTTTGTATAGACGTACGTGTAAATATATATGTATGTATATATATATATATATTCGTATTATGCATATAATGCCCCTGAAAGTATCAATACATTGATTGTGTATTTAATGTATCTTCCCTTTCTTTTTTTTTTTCTTTTTTTACACCATTGATTTTGATTAATTTGATAATATTCATCAATAAATTATCGAGTCAATATAAGTCAGAATGATTATAATCAATGCTATAAATATATAAACATGTTATCTTGATTTTTTTTTTTTATAAAATAATATATAAATATATTTTGGATAAATTGAAAATTTGAAGTTTTATATAAAAATATATATATATATAAAACAACAATTTTTCAAACTATATTTTATAAATTTGATTTATTTGATATATTTTATAGTACAATTAGATATATTTTTTTTTATTTTTACAGCACTTTCATTTCACTATGACTTATTAAAAAATATATTCAAGAAAAGTTGTGTGATATTCTAATTAAAATTAAATTACTTTTTGTGATCTAGTTAT